GCCCTAAGGGCTCATACAGATGTCTGAATCAGCTTAAAAGTTTGGCCCAGTCCTGCAAACACTAAAACACAGAAGTAGTCCTTGTGAAGTCAGTGGAACTGTTCACATGACTGAAGTTGAGGCCTTGTTTAATTGCTTTGAAAGATCAATACCAGAGTTCTCAGCTTTTTGCAGGACCTAGCACCTGGTGAGAATGTGTTGGCCACTAAATTGCACTGTTTTCTTGGTCAGACACCTTTTGTCCAACTCCTGCCACTTAGAGGTCAGTAGGCATTTTTACCTGTCTTTGATGGTCTACAACACATACTCAGGGTAACCGTGTAAGACCAAAAGCAATGCAGATAAAGCAGCTTTTGGTATAATACAGGGAGAATATTGAGCCAAATAAAATTATATCAAAGCATATTTAGCTGTTGAATTAAATAACTGCCCAGATAAAACCAGGAACGTAGAGTGGTTTAAGCCAAAGAAATATTTACATTGGATAGTTGTAGTTTAACACTTTTATAGTTTTCTTTCCCTCTGTCACCAGTTGGGTCTTACTGAGGTTTAAGATGCAGACACCTTTTATTAGCTGATGACTTCTAATCAAATATTGATTATACAGTGATGACTGAGATGGCTAAAATTCAGTAGATTTAGTAATGTGTGTAGGCATATGCAAGATCCAGGTCCTAATTTGCTACATGGAATTTCCCAATCATGTGCAGCTTTATTTTCCAGGCTGTCTTAAATCAGAAACTGTTTCTTGTGAAATTAGTGGAAAAAAATTGTAAGACATGATGTCTGCCTTTACAGAACTGATTAGCTAATTTTGAGATGGGCTAGTACTTCTTCTTTTCATGTTCTCTCATAAGCTAGGTGTTTTTCCAGAATTGTGCACAAGCGGTGGCTCTTTCCCTTACGTCAGTGAGGTCCTCCTTTGTACAGGTCTCACCAGAGAGTCGGTAGTACTGCGTTCAGTTTTGGGCTCCACAATTCAAAAAGGATGTGGAGAAGCTTGAGAGAGTCCAGAGAAGAGCCACGTGCATGATCAAAGGTCAGGAAAACAGACCTTACGACGACAGGCTGAGAGCCATGGGGCTCTTTAGCCTGGAAAAGCGCAGGCTCAAGGGTGATCTGATGGCCACCTGTAAGTTTAACAGGGGTGACCACCAGGATCTGGGGGAACGTTTGTTCACCAGAGCGCCCCAAGTGATGACGAGGTTGAATGGTCATAAACTACTGTGAGACCATTTCAGGCTGGACATAAGGAAGAATTTCTTTACTGTCCGAGCCCCCAAGGTCTGGAACAGCCTGCCATCGGGGGTGGTTCAAGCACCTACGTTGAACACCTTCAAGAGCAAATTGGATGCTTATCTTGCTGGGATCCTATGAACCCAGATGACTTCCTGCCCTTTGGGCAGGGGGCTGGACTTGATGATCTTCAGAGGTCCCTTCCAGCCCTAATGTCTATGAAATGAGCAGGTGCTCCGTAGTCTGCACTTCACCACGCTTGCATATATTCATGTCATTAGAGTAGCCTGATTTGATCATTTGTTCTTGATCTTCCAGTTTGCATGTGCAGGTGATTCAGGTGTTGCTATGTTGGCCAATCTATATGAGCCCCTCTGGGAAGGTCCTCCCAGGGTTCCAGGCCTCTTTCAGAGTGTCTGGTTGCGTGGAATCTTTCTTTCCATAACCTCAGTGGTGCTCTATCAGCAATTGTATCCAATGTCACAACACTGGTAACAAAAAACTTTTTCACACTTTAAGCCATTTAGTTACTTCTGTGTTGCCGCAGAGTGGATGCCTGTGGTCTTCCATGTGCCATGATCTTTCTTTTTGGCTCTCTACTAAATGGGCTAGTGATAACATTCTTGTTTCTTTTCAGATGGAGCAAACTTCCGATGAAATAGATGAGATGTTCAGCAATTTACTTGGGGAAATGGACATGCTGACCCAGGTAAATAATTATTTTGTTTTCACCTGGGTTAGAGGAATGGCTACAAGGGATGGAAGTGAAGAGAACTTCTCTCTGCAACTACTCATTGTTCTATTATACTGAATAAATGAAGATAAGTTACTTTAAAAAAAATGAAATATGTCCCTATTTGACATCCAAACCTTGTTGCCTGCAAAACAAAGATGACATTATTCTAGGCTGGGAGTGTGAAACAGCTCTGACATATGAAATAGGCACTTTTCAAAAAAATGAATCCAGAGTCCTGTTAGACTGAGCCCCGTCCAAACATTCTGCTTTGAATACAGACAGATTGAATCTTAATAGTCATGCATGAACACTTTGCATGAACTGTAGCATGCTGTGTTGACCATAAACTCTGAAAAATGAAAACAAAAATGTATCTTCTTCACTAAATTGTTGCACATTTGTATCTAGCATAGTGATTCAACACCATTATTACACATGCCAAAACTTAACACCAGTAACATTTAGAATTATATGTATATAATATATAACAAGAAACATTTTAAAAGAAAACTATTACAGCACAAGCCTCTTTATAAACCTAAGACCTGAAGAAATTTCCTACAAAACTGGTAAGGTTGAGGGAGAATTTAGACCCCAAAAAATGTTTTATTACATTTGTTTTAATTTAACATATCTTACATTGTCATCTTGGGTTTTGTATGAAACACCCTTCTTAAAGCCTTTAATTATAAAGTCTTTCCTGTTTCTTGGACTCCACTTCTTCCCAAATTCAAGAGCAATAATTAGGAATTCCTCTTGAAACATCTTGAAAGCAGCAAATAAAAGTTGATTTAATCTGATGATCATTGCTATCAAAACCATAACACTTTGTCCCTTGTCCAACTTCCTAACTTTTTAATAGTTCTGAATATGATTGAAAAGAGGGGACTAAATTACATTTTATTAAGTTTATTTCTGAGACAGAACTGCTTTGTCTTGTATTCATTTTCACATCTCCTACTTCACATCTCTAATTTTTCACACTCTGTCTAAAGCTGTACTTGTTTTCTGTGGTTCTCTATATTCTTGAAGCAGTCAATAATATATTCCCCCCCCACCCTTTTAGTTAATTTCTTTGCATCTCATTCTAACTTACTCCAAACCCTCGTTGCACCATCTCTGGCAATGTAAAGGGGCCTTAAAGCAGGGGCAAATGTGGCATCCAATTCAAGTCCCTTTTACTCTGGCAGTGTAATGAGAAAGTGGGAATCGGGCCCTTTGTGTCAGTCTCTGCACATCTAGTTTTGAACTACTCTTTTAGTGCTTCATTATTTTCCTCTTTGACCTGCTTATTCTTCTCTTGCTGTTACTCTTTCTGTTTTTAGTTTTCCATTTTATACCATTCTGGCTATTATAAAATACTATTGCATTTCTTTTATTTAAATTAGGAGTGAAAATATTTCTTTCTTGATCTTGAGCCCTAATCCAGCAAATTACTTACTTATTTGTATGCTTAACTTTAAGCAGATAGTAATATCATTGGCTAATATTTTGCTGGATTGAAGCCCTGACCAAAATTTTTGCCTTCTCTGTTTTATATACCCAAGTTCCCTTGTTTACTTCATTTGATCTTGGGCTAAAAATTGTCTAATTTTTTTTCTTTCTTGTTCTCCTGCTCACATGCTCACACCTACTTTATTTTTAGAAGTGTAAATATTCATGAAGAAGGGAGTTTCATAGATTTCATAGACATTCGGGCTGGAAGGGACCCTGAAGGATCATTGAGTCCAGTCTCCTGCCCCATGGGCAGGAAGTCAGCAGGGATCATAGGATCCCAGCAAGATAAGTTATTAAACAGTATATGCCCTAGGACAGAGCCTTGAGGGACCCCACTGGTGACCGCGCACCAAGACAATTGGCTTCCGTCAACCACCACCCTCTGGGTCCTACCGCAGAGCCAATTCCCCAGCCAGCGGATCGTGGTGAGGTTGAGGCTGCAGTTAACCAGTTTTGTCAAGAGGTGATCATGGGATACCAGACTGAAGGCTTTTTTAAAGTCAAGATATACAACATCAATCTCTTCCCCCTTGTCCAGGTGATAGGTAACCTGGTCTTAAAATTAATTTCAGAGTTCACTGCTTCAGTTTTTTAGCTTTGCACAAGTTCATAAGAAATGAACACTTCCTGCTTGGGCAATTGTGTAAAATGAACTGGCAAAAAAAATTGAACTCATTTTCATAGAAAATTCACTAGTTTCTGCTAACCCTTGTGAATTTAGGCACTTCTGGCAAAGTGTTGCCAGAGCCAGCCTTTTCCTTAGTGGGAATTAGAGGAAGGAATTGTCTTTCTATGACTTAATTTTGCACATTTTTCTTAGCCTACTAATGCACCATCCTAGAGAATAAGTTACATGCTAGAAAACCCCCTTTAAAGAATCACACGTATATGTATAAAACATCATAGAATAAATAAGACCTAGGGCATACTACACATGGTTCTCTTTCTTGAGAAAGGACTGCTTGTTAGTATGATTTGGTGTACATAAGTAAACATTAATAACTTAAAGACTACCATCAACAGCATTTTTTCTTCTCTCTCAACAGAGTTTAGAAGTGGAAACTTTCCAGCTTTCATCCCCCAAAGAACCTACTAAAGAATTTAATTTTTCAGTTGGTTTTAAAGATTTAAATGGTAAGTAATTAGAAAATTTATTTAATATTACTCTGTTTGTGTTTTTAAAAAACAAACTAAGGAACAAAAAGTGAAATGGCTATTATTTAAAAAAATCACTACTGATGTGTATGTGTGCATCAATTCAACACACTTTAGAAGGGCAAGCTTTTTAGAAAGTTAGTCCTTTCTGAAAATCAGACCGTTAAGATGTCTCAAGATAGGAACCCCAAAATTGAAGCAACAAAAATCACTTAGAAAATCATAGTCAAATGTCTTTCATCTGTAAATTTTTAATGAAACCAAAAACTAAGCTCTTCAGGGTTAGTCTGGCAGATGGAATTCATGAAAGAAAAACAAGATGAGGAAATGACACACTTGGCCCTGGTAAATGGTTTTCTTTTATGGGTATCCTTTTTGACAATAACTAATTAAAATAGTAGGACACCAGCTTTATTTAAGCAAGTTGAAAACTACATGGATTGGAATATTGTTAATGTGTGTGCCAGAACAGTGCATCAAAGTATTTCAATATAAGGAGAGAGGGCTTGTTTAGAAGTAACTTATACCCTGGTTCAGAAAAGAGATTAATTGCCATCTCCCAATAGAAATTACAGCATACAAGCATTCATTCAGTTTCTCCCAGTGGAAACCCTCCCCCTCTGGGAGAAAAATCTTCCAGGTATTAGCCTGGAAGTTCTCCCTTGTGAGGGATTCTTTTGCAAAAATGAATGCTTCCCTCATGGTCTGGCCCCAGACTGGGGACTGCCCAGTCAGGAGAGCAGATGGGTGTGCATTGCTCTGCTGCACCAGTTGCTCATTATTTAGGGTTCAATTCTTTAAGTTGTGAGCACTGTCCCAGATCCAGTAATCTGTGAGAGTCAATGGAATGTCTCACATTCCTGTATGTAATCATGTGCATAGGTAGTTCCCTGGATGAGGGACAGATTTATTTATTTATCTATATATTTATTCAACGTGTACGATGCCATTCCCAACAAAGGCTCAGGGCAGCTTATAAGAAGAAAACAAAATAACTTAATAAGAGAGTGACAAGGGGAAGAAAACAGCATAAAAGGGAACTAGAACATTAAGATAAAACAGAGACCCCCTAAAGAACATTACATTGCTTGGAGAATACCTGCCCAAATAGAAAGCTTTCACAGCACTTCTGAAAGAAGTCCAGGCTCAGGCTCTGGGGAACGTGAAGAAGGAGGAAGTTCCAGGGCTGAAGAGTAACTGTGAAGAACCACCTTCCATGTGTTTTTTGTCAAGAGGACTTGGCATACTGCTGGGTTTTTAGTTGTAGCAGTGTTATTTAGTTCCTTGGAGTTCTA